ATCCTAGTGACACAACACAGCAGGGAGTACCTGTGCATGCATCCCTCAAGAAGGCCCTTTCAAAGTTTGGGTATTTCCCTGAAGCAGCATTTGCTTGGGGGTCTAAATGATTATTTCAGAATGGAGTGTTTCTTATCAAATTGTTTCTGGTTTAGTCACTTTAACCCTAAGAATTAAAATCCAAAACAGCAGGGTTTTTGAGGCCGGGTTGTTGGAGAGTGAAGCAGAAACAAGGGAAAGAAAGAAGTAAATGCATGTGAGGAGGATTGAGTGTTCAGGTCAGTAGCTGCAGGAAAGCGAATAGAGCTGAGAAGGATTGAAGTCCTGCTAAGACTTTTTTTTTTTCTGATTGCAAAAACTTTTGCATTCCCACCTGCTGACACCAAGAGACGATTTTGTAACCCTTAGGCAAGTTAGCTTAAGGTCCTCAAGTGAATAATGTGAGCTGATTTATATGGAGCAGTTCCCAAGTTACGAAGTATGCAAAACCTCTGTTGGAATTGTCAATAAAAGATGAGTTACTGTGACTGGTCTTGTGCCTTCCCATTTTTTTCAGTAAAGTCAAATCAGTAGAATGGGATCATATACTCCCTCATGGCTTTCCCTAAGGAATTCAGTAGATATGTATTGGGGTGCTTGGGGTGTGGCAAGCCCTCTGGGAGCTGACAGGAGGGCCTCAGGTGGGTAAGTTGCCATTCTTGAACTTTAAGGAGCTTCTGATGTCTTTCTGAGAACAAGCAAGTACAAATGGGCACTTTCACCCCTGGATGGTAAGTGAGCTGGTAGAATACTTGTGCAGCTTAGAAAAAGGAGTAGAGAGAAGTTGCTCCTCCCAAGATGGGCTTTAAGGACAAATATCACAAGATGAGCCAGAACTGTGTCTTAATAGGACTAGTTAGTTAAGAGCAGAGAGGTGGTGAGCCGTGGGCCTCACCCAGAGGAAACACTGTTGGAGGAGGCTTAGAGGATGAGGTGTGGGACGAGGAGCTGTCCAGAGAACGAGTGGCCAGCTGATGCACTTGTGTGCCACACTGAATGATTTGAGAGGGCCGGAGGAGAAGCAGGCTCTGGGCGGGGAGAAAACAGCAATGTGCTTTCAACATGCTGCATCTGAAGTACATATGAGACAGCTCTGGAAATCCATCTCATAAGGGCAAGTTTTACAGATGTTGGATGGAAAAGTCAGGGCTAGATATTTGGGTTTGGGAAGCCAGCATGGTGGTAGAGCAAGCCCATCCTCTGCCTTCAGTGCTGGCATCCCATATGGGTGCCGGTTCATGTCCCGGCTGTTCCACTTCCCAATCCAGCTCCCTGCTTGTGGCTTGAGAAAGCAGCAGAGGGTGACTCAAGTCCTTGGGCCCCTGCATTCCCATGGGAGACACAGAAAGATGTTTCTGTGTCAGACTCGCCCAGCGCCTAAGGTTGCAGTCATTTGGGGAATGGGAGATCCCTGTTTTTCTTGGTCTCTGCCTCCTCTCTTTGTCTCTGACTTTCAAATTAAGTAAATACATGTTGGGAGTGGTCTGAATGCAGAGCTTCCTCCCAGAGCTATGTAACAAGAGCTGTTAATGAAGAACTTTTTTTTTTCTAGTTACCTAGTTTTGAGTAGTACGTAGAAAATGAGTAGTCCCAAGGTATGTGATGAAGAAGAGACAGGACTGAGCAGACCAAAACAGAGGGGTGTCAGGATTTTAACTGCTGTTGAATATCCCAGAAAGATGCACGGACAGATGGCCTGGCAAATGGTCATTGGGCTGATGGGTCGCGAAGGGTAGTGTCAGTGCTGAGCTGTGGCTGGTCCCTGCCTTTGTATGATCTCTGTGTTGGAGGCACTTACTCTGGAGTCTTCTCTCCACTCCTCGCCCTCTCCTCTGCTCCTCTTGTGCCCTCCTCTCCGTCTCCCCCACCCTCCTCCTGTGCATGCCTCTTGTTGCCGCTCACTGCCTCATCCCTTTCGCACGTTGCATCCTGCTCTTCTTCGACAGCCAGCCCTTTGACCCTCATCCCGCCATGGGATATGCTTGCTGTGCTTTGCTTCGGCTGCAGAAACCTAAATGGAGGTGAGGCTACAAACCTGGTTTTGTTGGAAGCTGGAGGTGCAGGAGTGAATCATCAGGGCCAGTGTGAGTGACCAGAGTGGAAAAAGAGGAGCGAACTGTGTCTTTATTCTTATTTCATATCTCTCATCAGAACACGAGTGAACTTCATGTCACGGCATGAAGAATGAACCAACATCAAGAATTGACAGGATGAAATTATTTTCTGAATTGTGAACATTGCTTGATCTGGAGCTGCTTCTATTTTTTTCCAGGAGTTTGCCTTCTTGGTCTTAAAAACGCGCATCAGCATTGTGGTACAGTTGGTTAAACCACTGTCTGCAATGCCAGCATCTAATCTACACACCTGTTCAAGTCCCAACAGCTCCACTTCTGATCCAGCTCCCTGCTGATGCTCCTGGGAAGGTAGCAGAAGGAGGTCCAACTGCCTGAGTCCCTGCCACCATGTGGGAGACCTGGATGGAGCTCCCAGCTCCTGGCTTCAGGCTGGCTCCACCTTGGCTGTGGTGGCCCTTCGGGGAGTATCTGCTTGCTTCTCCCACTGCCTCTGTTAATTCTGTTTTATTTTCAGATTTAAAAAACTAAATTTAAAATAAAAAAATATTTTAAAATTTAAGTTGCACGTCAGAATTGGATACCAGCATTGTATGACGTTTTCTTATTTAAAGGCCTATTTGGCTCTATCCATCTAGGATGTCTTGGTCACTCCGGAATCATACTCCTCTCCTGCTTCTTACTGGCCTCTGAGACTAGGCTTTCTCTATTTTTTTAAGAAAAAGATTTATTTAATTTTTATTGTAAAGTCAGATAGAGGAGGAGGAGGAGAGAGAGATCTTCCATCTGCTGATTCACTCCCCAAGCAGCTGCAATGGCCAGAGCTGTGCCATCTGAAACCAGGAGTCTGGAGCCGCCTCGGGTCTCCCATGCAGATGGCTTTGGGTCATCCACGACTGTTTTCCCAGACCACAAGCAGGGAGCTTGATGGGAAGCAGGGATGCTGGGATTAGAACCGGCACTCATATGGGATCCTGGCACATGCAAGGGAAGGACTTTAGCCACAGGCTACTGCAACAGGCCCCTAGACTTTCTCTTTAAATCTTTTCTTTAGTTCTTTAGTTCCCTGGGGAGTTAGGCCTTAGCCCTGAACCCAGCACACAACTGAGCTCCCCACCAGCAGTTCCATTTATGCCTGTCTACTTTCTGATGGAGTTGTGAGAGGCTGGAATTCTGCCACATGTGTACACCTCTTGAGCAGTGTTGGCCTCCCCTGACCCCTGACCCCTGTTGCCTGACGCTCCACCACACAGGTGTCAGAACGCACTAGTTTCTGTGCATCAACCCTCTTGATCCAGCCACTGGATCCCAAGCCACTGTGCACATGTTGGACCTGGCTTCAGAGCAGATCTGTTTCCTGGTGTCTCCATGGTCATATCTAAAAGATTTGTCTCTCCCCCCATTCTCCCTTCCCTCCTCTTCCTTTGCCTCAGTTTGCATGTGTTTGAGGAGACTGCTCGGACCTGTCCAGGGAATGGAACACCAAGGTCAAGCGGGGAGGGGATGTACCATTGCACTTCACAGCCAAGATGGTGACAGTCATTGTAAAAGGCACATAATCTTTCCATTGATTAAAAAAAAAAAAGACCTAGCCAGCGCATGCTGAACATTGTAGTTGCATGATTAAAACTTGTGACGTTGTTCTTGTGTTCAGTGTGTTGTGGAGTCTTGCACAGTATTTCAGCTACTCAGCTTGGTTTATCCAGACTACTTCATCATGCAAGCAATCACCTTCCCAGAGCAGGTTTGCTATATTATATTAGATCAAGGTAGTTTTGTGACTTTTTTTTTCTTTTCTAAGGTTAAAATAATTCTGCGGAAAAATTACTCTTGCCAGGCGAATTTTGTTTTCCTGGGACTGCAACCTTCATGAGTTCTTTATTCCTGCATTCTAGAGACTGGGATTTTACACTCAGGCGCAGGGATTCTCTCACCGCAGGTGTCTCATGACATCTGTTTCTCTGCTCGTTTTACCAGATTAATGTTCTTTTGCATTATTTGATTTTGTAGTATTTAGTTACATCGACTGCTGGAAATAGCTTTGGAAAGCTATCAGGACATAAACATGTTTGTGTGAAGTTAAAGTGTTTTGGGTCACTTGGTTGGGAACTTTGAAATGATTCTGATATTTCTCTGATGTGAATTGTGTATGTGTGTGCTGCGTGCACATGTTTCTATCTCCCAAACGGACAGAAACCAGAAGGACGTGGATTTTTTTCTCTGAGCAGAAAGAGCTGTCACAGCCATAGTGGAAAGACTGCTTTACTCCCAGCCACCTGCTCAGTGAGGGATTTGGAAGTGCTTGGTGCTTTCCCGTGGGCATTACTCCGTGTCCCAGGGGATGGTGAAAGGTCTTGGTGTGGAGTGTTCACTTGTTTTTCATTTTTATTCTCATTGTCTGGGGAATGGGTCTTTGGGCTGTTTTAATGCCAGCTGATCACTCAGTTGCTTTGACATGAGTGATGTCAGTGCATTAATTGAGGAACCACCAAATATCTACAGTCTCTTAAAAGGCCTAGTTAAGTGTCGCCAAATTTACAGTGATTGTAACATAACTTTAAATATTAATCTTAATAACCTGATAATTGCTGAAATCCTGCAAAGGAAGAATATAATAAGACAGCCTCCACCCACCCCTTGTTTTTTTATAAATCTGTATAGGATATATAGATGCTCTTGTTAGTATAATTAAAATTAAGCATTTCATTGTTATTCAAGGAGCTTTCAGCTATTGTAAGTTTGTTCATTTGGATTAACAATGTGTAGATTATATGAACCGTGCTGATACTATGTTGGAATCAGAGTGAACCCAGTTTGGTGAGGTAGTCTTACGCTGGAACCGTAAAACCCCTCATGAAGTCTTGCGTGTTCTGTGTGTTTTGACCACAGCCCTACCACTTACGTTTTGGAAGAAGATGAGCCGCGGTTCCTTGAAGAAGTTGATTACAGTGCAGAAAGTAATGATGAGTTAGATAACGAACTGACTGAAAATGTGGGCGATTATGAACCTTCTGCTCAGGAGGAAGTACTCTCTGACTCAGAACCACCACGATACCTGCCTTGAGCCCTCCGCCATCTCTTGTTGATTGCGACGAAGAAGTGAAATTCCAAGGCTTTCATTACACAGGAAGGTTGAGAGAAGCGAGTTTGTAGAGAACTGACTCAAAAAGACAAAAAGGAAACTCGAGCCTGTTGGGTTTCAAGACAATAAATATGTTCATTCACGATAAAAAAAAATTGGCACTTGTTTTATTTTAGATATTCAGTGCACTAGCATTGAATGATCAAATACTAGATTTACTTGAAGAAAAAAAAAAGCCCCGAGTATCATTGCATGAATTTTTATCTCATGGTGGTTATGTCTTGCATCCAATGGATAATTTTGAAGTATATCAGAATATGACATCTGAATTCTAGTGCTGTTGAAAATCCTGAGTCAGTGGAAGCTACTGTATACATACTTGGATTCTTATAGCTGTGTCTGTGTAGAGTTGGGTAGGTATTGATGACTGTGCTTCAGAATCATGTCGTGGGTTTTGACTGAAATAATCCAGAGTTTGCCTGGGAACCAGGACATTCTACCTTACCAAATTAAGCAAATAAAAGCTATCTTAAGAGCTGCCTTCATTTCATCATTGTTTATAACCAGCTTAGGTGACTTGGTCCACAGCAGTTGGTGAGTATTTGAACACGTGGCTAAAAAGTTTAAAAAGTTGGAAAAGCCCAGTTGACTAGTCTTGAGGTTTTTTTTTAAATGACATGGGTATATTCACACCTGTTGGAAAAGATGTATTTGAACAACTCTTCTAACATTGTGTTTCATGGGTGCACCGTGAGTGACGGTGCTTCTAGACCCTCAGGTTAGCATCCAAGATGACTACAGGAAACTGAAATGTGTGCGCTGATAGCTTCCAGAATTATAGCCACGCCTCTGTAGGCATGGCTTCATGTTCAAGTCGGAGGAAATAAGGACATCTTATTCTAACAAATGTACCCCAAAAGATACCTAGATCCTTGCCAAGACTCCAGACCTCAGGCACCTGTCTTCCTTGCTTGTCCCCCAACTGGAATATTTTTAATCAGTTGTAATGGAAAAGAAATTTTAAAAATGTCCTTTATGCTTTTCCCAATTGGTGATTTTTTTTAGACTGTTCAAGGCTTTTTCATCTACTGTGTAAATTCTTTTTGTTCTCTTGAGGACTGTGTAAAAACCTAGGGTGGGACAGTTAAAGACACTGAATTCTTACTCATCTCAGGAAATAAAGATGAATGGGGCTGTGAAGTTAAACTAGTTATCTTAGTGCATTCTCCTTAATTTAGGAAAGATCAGGGCACTTTAGCAAGGTAATTATTTATTTAATTGTTCATTAGCAGTTATTTTATCTCTATATAAATAATTTGCATCTTTCATTAAAATCATACTTTTTTTATAAAGTAGATTATGGAGCCTTTAAAGCCCACATATGAATTTTTTTGGCTTTTACAGAATTGAATTAAAAACTAAAACTAAGATGATCATGTATGTAAAATAACTATAGTTACTATAATATATAGAATGACTCAAAAGTTTATTACATTACCAGTATAAAAATCTCTTATTTGTACTGTTGTAATATTTTACATTAAGTATATCTTTTAGTATTTATTATACGCTCGAATGTGCCTTTTTTTATTAAATATTTAAAAGATTGAGGAAAAGACTTTTTAAAAAGTGATTTTTTTTTGTTTGTGTTTTGGTCAACAATGAATAGCTTTGGAAAAGTAAAAAGTAGTCTAATATCCTAACTTTCCTAATTAGGGTTATTGCTCAAGTTTTTGTTTGTTTGTTTTTTGTGTTTTGGCTATTAACAGCTAGCATTGTCCTAATGTTAGCTCTGTGGCCTCAGATTTTCCAAACAATGATGGAGAGATTCTTAGTGCCGTGGTTCTGAGAAGCAATGTTCTTCCCTGTGTGGAAGTGAGACAGTTTAGATTTATGTCAGTTACCTTGCATTTGTCCCTGTCGTTTTGGCCACATGCATCAGATGGCTGTGTAGACTCAGGATGGAACCCACGGACCTGGAAACTCTATAGGCTCCCCGGGGTGTAATATTAGCGCAGGTGCACACCTGCAGTCACTGGTCTGCTCTAATGAGCTGCTTCACTGCTCCTGGAGAAGGAGAGGGCCTGTGAGCTTTTAGGGCAAGAGAGTTGCAAACCAGTTGATTGACACAGTCAAGGAAATAGAGGCCAGTTGTCAGATAAGGTCCCTTGGGCAGAGCCAGGGTGTCAGCTTTGCCTTTCCCCAAAGAGAGGGTTCTGAAAAAACTCAAGGGTCTTTCTTGAATAAATAAAATTTATTCAGGCAAGGTAGAAGGTCAGAATCTCTGCTTCACATTGTCCTCATATTGTGACCCTGGACTTGGCTTGAGTACAGTAAATTGAGTCAATCTCTTGTTTGGGTGTGATTTGTAGAAACATGGATGTGTCTGAATTCTAATGACCAGGTAACCTGGAGTTCATGCTTCAGCTAGTGCCCTGAGAGCAGTAAATGTGATCTCTACATTACAGGTACCCAAATTAAGATGACTATGTTATGTATAAGCACTCAAGTTGATATTAAATGTAATGATGCAATTGTTTTTGTGCATGGTAATTAATGACAGTAATAACCCACAAATGTATCCTTATAAAACTTGTTTTTCTCATCATACACTATAAACATTTCAAAGGTTTGATTGAAAATTGAGGGAATTGAGGAATTTTGCTTGTTTTGGTGATTGTTTAGTAACTGTGTGCAAACATTAGTTCTTTGTATTAGGAAAAACCTATTGAAACAATAGTTCTACTTTATACCATAGAATACTACTGTTAAGTGATATCTCTCAGATTGAAAGTATATTCAGGTCCTTGCAACCTTGAGAAAAGAAGACCTAAGGAAGGTCTCCTTGGTCCTTGAAGTGTCACACATCAGGTGTGTTGCACAATGGATCATGTTTACAGGTGCTTCCTGGGATGATGTAAGTCTGCAGTCACTGAGGCCTCTGGCCACCCTGCCTTCCACGCCACAGCCTGACTTCCTGTAATCCCCTCTCAAATCTTACTATTCTTCAGAGTGTGGCTGATTATTTGGGCACATTGCGTGATGAATTTTTTTGTCCTGATTTGTGATCACTATGTATGGCCCACACTCAAGTGAGTGGCCCTCTTCCATGGCCATGTATGGCATCACACAGGTGCTCGGAGTTTAGGATGTGGCTGATGCTTTGTTGAGTACTGCTGTGATTTTTGTACGTTTGTGAACATACATACAAACCACTGTGAAGTGGACATTGGTTTGTAGTATCCATCTACTTGAAATCCGAGATGACTTTAACACATCAGACATTCAGATCCAGATACTTACAAAGTTTACCTTTCTGATGCCAAATGTACATTGATGGAATGCCAAGGGAATATGAGATGAACAGTTGCAAAAATCTGGTCAGGAGTGATTATGATGCATGATCTTGCAAATGTTTGTAATATACTTTGAAATCATAAGATCTTTGAGAAATGGCATTTGTGAAGAAATTGTAAAAGACAAAGATGTTTGTTCTGAAACTTAGACAAGACTAGAGCCCAATAAAAGTTTGCACCTTTGAAAGTGGATTGTCTTCTCTGTACATTTTTTTTTTCCAGCTAAAGGTCTGGTTGAGAATTTTAAAACAGAACTTAACTTAGATGTTTGTTCAGCACTAACATCAAATTATTACAGTATCATGCCTTTTTTGTTAAACTGTTTCTATGTTCCCCCTTTCCTTCATGTCACCTTTGTGATGTCTGCTTTCTTCTGGCGTCCTCATGTTTGACATTTCCAGCTGTTTGCTTTATTTATTTTCAGAATGTGGGCCCTTGCAATAAAGTAAACTGTGTAATCTCATGTGAAAGGATAAACTCAAAACTCTGAAACGGTGTTTTCAACAAGTATTGTTTATGTGTAATGTAGACAGAAGGGTGTCTGATATGCACCTGCTTTGCAGTCCTTTATTTCTGTTTCCCAAAGAGCTGTAGAAAACGCAGCAGTTTCAAAAACTAGACCGTGTTGCTGTTGCACGTGCTGACATTGTCAATCTCAGAACTTCACTGGCTGGAGCAGACACTTGTGTGGTTTCTTTCCTTTCTTCTCACCCTTGATTAACTGATGTTCTAGAACTCCAAGACCTGAGGTCACCGACATTTCCTGAAACTCTGGAGGTGTAATATCCATGGCCAGGGCTCTGGGCACGCCTCCTCTGCTGACCCCCAGAGATTGGTGCAGTGTGCGCATAACCTGAACCAGTCCACATGCAGTGAAGGCTAGCACTTTCTGTGGCAGAGCTAGAAGTAGAGAGGAGCCAACTTCAAAGGAACAGCACCCATGTAGTGGCAGACACAGGGATTGCCAGCCCGCATCAAGCTGTGCCTGAGATCCCTAGTGGCACTGGTTAGGCAAGCCTGTTAGTCACTTTTATTGTCAAGGCATTTGCATTGCGTTATCGGACACTAGCAGCACATCACGTCACACACAGGTGTGTCTGGCTCCGCCCACCTCACATGGTCTTAGGGAAGTTGAGCATGCTGAACGACAAAACTGATAGGTGTTTACTCCAACCCATTAGGCCAACTAGTTTTTAAATTTTTTAAAGATTTATTTATTTTTATTGAAAAAGTACATCAGATTTACAGAGAGAAGGAGAGACAGAAATTTCATCTGCTGGTTCACTCCCCGAATGGTTGCAATGGCCAGAGCGGAACCAATCTGAAGCCCGGAGCTTTTTTCAGGTCTCTTACATGGGCTTAGAGTCCCAAGGCTTTGGGCCACCCTCCACTGCTTTCCCAGGCCACAAGCAGGGTACTGGATGGGAAGTGGAGCAGCCAGGACTCAAACCGGTACCCATATGGGATTCGGGGGCTTCCAAAGGGAGGATTTAGCTTTGAGCTCTCAATGCTGGGCAAGTATTAACTAGTTTTGTATAACTGTCACCAAAAAAAAGTTTGTTGGTCCAGAAATGAGCCACATTTTTGTCATTGCTGTCTTTAAATTTGGAATATTTCTTCAAGTGATGAGACTTGTCATTGCATCATTTGGAGATGACAGAAGGAAGTTTCTTTTTTGGGGTAAAGGGGTGCAAAAAAATTGAAATGCATAGAGGATTCTTCAAAAAGTTAATGGAAATTATGTATTATCAAAAAACATTATGCTTGGATTTCAAAGAAATTTGCACCAAAGGGGAAAAAAAATCAATTTATTTCCCCAAGATTTATGTGAAAGAATCATGGAGCAAATGAGGCAGTCTTTCGTCTGCTAGAGTCCATTGAAAAAAAATTTTCTCTGTAATAGGCCATGATCTAGGACCTGCCCTTTTCCACCTTGCTTGCCTGGTGGCTTCCTTTAGGCTTGGCAAGTTTGCTTTTCTTTCCGTGGTGGTGATGGGAAAGAATTCTATCCAACAGACTTGTCCAGAGATCTTTGTTTCATTTTCTTGGAAGAATTTGCATTTTTACTGGAAAGATAGTATATTCTATAGCTTTATTGTTACATGAACAGGAAGGGTCCAGAAGTGAGCCCCAAATTACCCACTTTTCTAGAGTGGGTAATTGCACTTTTTAGTTAGAAGTATTTCATTTATCGTGCAGAACAAGAATAAGATGACCAAAGCACTCCAACTTCACATTTGTTTGTGACAGCGTTATTAACAAAATTTTGAGATTTTTGTCTGTTGGTGGAACTAGCTCAGCTTGTGTCATCCTCAAAGTCTGGCAGTTCCCAGCGTGAGCAGTTGGGACGAGCAGCGATCTCTATAAGCATTTTGATTATGTGAATCTTGTCTGCCCGTCCAAGGTTGTTCTGAAGAGTTGTTCGAATGTGTACACCAACATTCCAAAGTACAGGGCATAGATCTTCACAGGGAAGTCAGCTCTGGGACCTGGCTTTGTTCTTCGGTAACTTGATGTGGGACGTAGAGTGAACGAAACTGTGGCTTTTAGCTTTGATGACACTAAGGGTCACACTCAGAGTGCCTGCTGTGTTAGCACAGTGCTCTGTGTGCCTTATGTACACATGCCTGTTCAGTCCTCAGAGCAACCCTGCACTAGAGATCACTACCTCTAAAGAAACAGAACACAGCCAGAGGCCACACAGCTAAGAAACATTGGAAAAACCAGTGATCCCTGTTCAAGGCAAGCAAGAAAGCGGTTGGTAAAACTCCTGGGGATGTTTCAAAGTTGTCACCCTCCTCCCAGATTCCACAGCATCTGACCGGGGAGCATAATGTGGCACATCACACTGATCCTCTGGCAGCCTTCCTGAGGGCCTCACCCCATGCAGCCGTGGTGGGATGCAGATAAGTTCAACCACTGGGAACTTTACTGTTACTGAAAGGAGACAACCAAAACAGAACTGTGTTGCGATCTGAATTGGAATAGAAAGGACAGCACAATTGGCGAAGATGCATGGATTGAAGAGGGAGAAAAAAGCCAAATACCATATTTTGTGTTATATCTAAGTCTAGAGGCTCCATGTGTTGGGAAACCTCTATTGGGTGAAGTAAGAATGTGGCTATCCCTGAAGGGGATAGCCAGGTGAAGCATGCCTTTTAGTCTGTGTGTACCTGCCTGGGATGCACTGGAGGCCTGGTGCAGGTGGCTGTGTGCAGCCCTGCCATCATCTCTAAGGAGGGGTGATACCTGATCTACAAGTAGCGTCTGTTGAGTGGGACCTGAGTAGGTGTAAGTATCACACACAGCCAGTTTCATGTCTAAAGAACAGTAGTTCTGCCTCGCATGTTCAAATGTCAACTTGACAGGAACAGTGAAGCTTAACACACTGGGGAAAGTGGAAAGTTGTTTCTGAACTTGTATCATGTTACAGATCCACTGAGGAGGACAAACAAGAGGTTATATTCATTTCTTCAGTGTAGGAATGTTTCTTTGCTGTGTCCCTAAGCTGTGTGAGTATTTATAAAGGACAGCTGTGCCACCCAGAAGTGCAAGTTCGCCACAGGGTTCGCAAGTGATGGTTTTCAGCTGCATCCTCTTCACTGAGCCACAATCTCCAGCAGGTCACACAGAAGCTTTGGCTTGTTGTCCCAGCTTGGAGAGCCTGAGATCTGATTTATTGTAGATTCTTTCAAATAATTGGACAGAGAGTGCCGTTGCCATGGCTCTACTTTCCTAACGGGATTAGTGTGCACCAGGTGGAGGACCGAATGTCCGTGTAATTTAAATGGCCAATGTCGCTGTCACAGCTTGTGAGCTTAGAGTTCATAGCAGCACCCTAGGGCTGTGGAAAATGATGCAACTCTGGAATTTAGTTTGTTCTCACCCCACAATGTATGTTTATAGCCAGGAGTGAGGCAGAAAGAAAGGTGAATGCCTAGAAATGGTCATTGCTTTGAGTGAAAAAAAAAATTTTCCTAAAACTTTAGAACACAGCTCATTTTACTCTGAAGTGCTAGAAGGAGAAGCCTAAGGACCTGGCATGATGACTCAGTGACTAAATCTCCACCTTTAAAGCACCAGCATTCCATCTGGGCACTGGTTCATGTCCCAGCTGATTCACTTCCCTGCCAGCTCCCTGCTTATGACCTGGAAAAACACAGTGGAGTGTGGCCCAAAGCCCCTGGGACCCTGAACCCGTGTGGGAGACCCGGAAGAAGCTCCTGGCTTCAGATCAGCTTGGAAATGATGTTAACCATGTTTGAGCTGTGTGGATTTTGAATTGTGTGTGCATCTGGAGGATGTCAGACACAAAGCTCAACTTCAAGTCACGACCCCATAACAGGGAGGCTGGCCCATCTGGCTCAGTTACATTTCTTCTGCTTAGTGTTTGAGACCCTGAAGGACTGCCCTTGGAGGTCATCAGGTCCCCCCAACTCATTCCGATGAACGAAGTCCAGGGGAGGTTAAGGGACCTGTCTGAAGTCGCCCAGCTCTCTGCCTGTGCCCCACCCAGATATCCAGCCCCTATCAAACCCTCTCTGTCATGTGCTGCCTCTTGGATCATCCTGAGCAGAGCTTACTGTCATTTCAGACTCATTCTGCATTCTGTTGACAATTACATTGCCCTTCATGCATTTATAGCTCTGAACTTTATAGCTCTGGGAAGCGCCTTAAAATATAAGTGCAAATGCTCCCCCCACCCCAAAGTGCACCCTCTTCAACTAATCATGAGGCTTTTAAGCAATCTCATAACAGGGCAGCAAGATAATGGCTCAAGTGAAGCGAGGAGTCTGAGCAAGTGGGCTTTGGTAATGGGCTTCCCAGTGGCAGCGGTTGTCTGATTGGAGATCTGTGATTATGCGTGTGCATTTTGTATTTCGAAAGGCACAAAGGGTCAGGTCACTGCCTGAACACTTAAGACTTTGTTTTGCAGAGTTGCAGTGAAGGACCTCACCTTTGATATGTTTTCCCTCCAGAGCTTTATGTTTGATGTAGGCCCTTTGTTTACAAATTATTAGTAAGTCTATCAAGAAAAAAAATTCTTTCCCATTTCTTAAGTGATTTGATTAATTTTTTAAAAAAAGATATATTTATTTACTTATTTTATTGGAAAGGCAGATTTACAAAGAGAAAAGATACAGAGAGAAAGATATTCTGTTGACTGGTTCACTCCCCAAATGGCCACAA